TTTGCTGCACAGACCAAAAAAAGAAATAAAGCAATCTGAGAAATAATTTACTTTTTAAACAACTTATCAGAATCCAGAGAACCAAATTATTCAAATTAAAATTAAAACTTATAAATAATGATTAAGCAACATTAACAACAATCATATAGTAAAAATAGAAGATAATTTGTTTTTCAGGTTGTTTAATTTATGACCGTTTCCTGTTTTTATTCAAATTTCTTTTCATGCTTTGATTGTTTTTATTTTTTAATCTTATTTTATAATTACACTTTTTTTTCTTATCGTGAGCTTTATGGTTGTGTTCAGCACCTTGGAGGTGCTTCATAAATAAATTAAATGAAAATGATACCGATAAACACTCATTGAAGAGATAATAACGACGCACCTAACAAATACAAAAATATACTCAGATTACAGAACGTAGAGAAAGTTTAGAATAATATTTAATCAAAAAATGTTATATAAAACTTTATGCCAATTTGTTCAAATCTGTAAATCTGACTGCAGCCTAGAGAAGTGAACGTTACGTTGTTTGGGGTAAATCTAAGAAGTGATTGACTAAATCCTTCTAATGGTGTTACAGTTTAGAAAAGAGGATAACAGTGCAGTGAGACAGTTTGACAGTGTGTCTCACTACTTCTAAAAACATGGCAATGGTTAGAACTGTGTGTGTGACACATTATCAGCAGCAAGCAGCTGAACGTGGTCTCCAAATGAACATCATAATACTCTCTCAGGATAATTCATTCTTTATTTTATTCAGTTTAGTTTTTATGTGAGAGCTTGAGCTCCCCCGACAGGATGTTGCTCAGAGCCGTGAACCGTATCACTCTGCTAATTTATCTCATTTCAAACATTTCTTGACAATTCATGCAAGTTTTGATTTATGAACCTTTACACAAGCTCTAATGTTGTGACAGAGTACCAAAAATGTTGTTTGCTGCTGGTTTCTTTCTCCAAAAACAATAAAGTACCATAAAATAACCAGTTTAAAATAGCATCCACCTGAAATATTAGGACATTTTAGAAGCTAAAGTCTTTTAGGGTGGCAGGCCCTGCTCAAACTTGTCATACCAGTTTAGTTGGACTAATTGTAGTCAGTCTTGCTCCAACTGCTGTTTAGTGTGAACGTGGGGAGTGATAAAGGTGTTACATCATTTGTTGGACTCATTTTCCCTGTCAGCATTGAGTCAGTGATTGCATCCTGTGCTCTTCTTCATTTTTATTTATTTTTTGCCCTGAGACACATTTGCTCGACCTTATGGGTAAATGCTACAGCAGTCTGCAGCCAGAGCACCAATCAGCCCAATAAATAGATATCTGATCAAAAAATTAAGTTAGATAACTATGACTTACACACACACACACACACACACAAACACACACACACACACACACACACTACACAAAACAGTGCACAACAGCCATCTAATGGTCCAATCAGCCAATTACAACAGAGGAGGACTCATTAGATTGTATACACTCACCTAAAGAATTATTAGGAACACCATATTAATACGGTGTTTGACTCCCATTCGCCCTCAGAACTGCTTTAATTCTACGTGGCATTGATTCAACAAGGTGCTGAAAGCATTCTTTAGAAATGTTGGCCCGTATTGATAAGATAGCATCTTACAGTTGATGGAGATGTGTGGGATGCACATCCAGGGCACGAAGCTCCCGTTCCACCACATCCCAAAGATTCTCTATCGGGTTATCTGGTGACTGTGGGGGCCGTTGTAGTACAGTGAACTCTTTGTCATGTTCAAGAAACCAATTTGAAATGATTGGAACTTTATGACATGGTGCATTATCCTGCTGGAAGTAGCCATCAGAGAATGGGTACATGGTGGTCATGAAGGGATGGACATGGTCAGAAACAATGCTCAGGTAGCCCGTGGCATTTAAATGATGCCCAGTTGGCACTAAGGGGCCTAAAGTGTGCCAAGAAAACATCCCCCACACCATGACACCACTACCAAAAGCCTGCACAGTGCTAACAAGGCATGATGGATCCATGTTCTCCTTCTGTTTACGCCAAATTCTGACTCTACCATTTGAATGTCTCAACAGAAATCGAGACTCATCAGACCAGGCAACATTTTTCTAGTCTTCAACTGTCCAATTTTGGTGAGCTCATGCAAATTGTATCCTCTTTTTCTATTTGTAGTGGAGATGAGTGGTACCCGGTGGGGTCTTCTGCTGTAGTAGCCCATCCACCTCAAGGTTGTGCGTGTTGTGGCCTCACAAATTGCTGCATTCCTCGGTTGTAACCAGTGGTTATTTCAGTCAAAGTAGCTCTTCTATCAGCTTGAATCAGTCGGCCCATTCTCCTCCGACTTCTAGTATCAACAAGGCGTTTTGGCCCACAGGACTGCTGCATACTGGATGTTTTCCCTTTTCACACCATTCCTTGTAAACCATAGAAATGGTTGTGGGTGAAAATCCCAGTAACTGAGCAGATAGTGAAATACTCAGACCAGCCCGTCTGGCACCAACAACCACGCCACGCTCTAAATAGCTTAAATCATCTTTCTTTCCCCTTCTGACATTCAGTTTGGGGCTCAGGAGATTGTCTTGACCAGGACCACACCCCTAAATGCATTGAAGCAACTGCCATGTGATTGGTTGATTAGATAACTGCATTAAGGAGAAGTTGAACAGGTGTTCCTAATAATCCTTTAGGTGAGCATAAAGGTAGGTGTGTGTGTGTGTGAGAGAGAGAGATGCTCAGAAGGGATGTGTAAAAGTCTGTTATGTGACGACTCCCAGGGAATTTATTTTTTTTTTTTTTGCTTTAGGAACAAAATCTGGTACAAAATGAAGAGTAATGCCATTGGCAGAGAAAAATGGAACATCCAGAAGTGCCACTAATACTGGGATCATCACTGTTAAGCTGCTCAGCTGCACTGGAGGCTCAGCAGGAAGAAGAAAAACAGGCTCTGAGGGACAGCTTGACTGAAAGGAAGCAGTCAGGATTTAACAAGGTTGAATCACACAACCGGTTTTCTTCTACCGTCTAGAGCCTGTTTTAGGTGTCAGGAGCCAGATGAAGATCGGGAATAAAAACAGCTCAACAAAACTCTTTACAAGAGCCTAAATTAGTGAGTTCAGTCAGAGCAAAATGTAATTTGATGATGCATCACAGGTGAGCTCTAAACTTGTTAATTTTGTTTTTAATCAAATATTAAAGTCATATCTGAAGATCACTTAACTGAGAATATGCAATTATTTTAGGATTTTTTTATTAGGCTTGATTAGTGTTTGATAAATTAGAATACTTATAAGTGTATTTTTATATATATATATATATATATATATATATATATATCACTGTGTGGAGAATCAACTGGCTTCATCAAATAAAAAATCCTCATGGTTTCATTATTTGAAGCTTGAATTGTTTAAAAATATATATTATAAAGGGAGAAAAAAAGTTTTTATTCTGTTTATAAGAAGACGGCTGAATGGCCCTTGAGACATCCCATTACTTTATATCATCTGATTTACCCACGGAGGATCACGGGGGCTGGTGTCCATCTCCAGCTGTGGGAGGAAGCTGGAGAGAACCCACACATGCACAGAGAGAACATGCAAACTCCATGCAGAGAAACCCAGGGCCGGGATGTGAACCCAGAACCTCCTTGCTGCAAGGCAACAGCTCCAACCACTGCACCACTGTGCAGCCCTACTTCATATCATTTTAGGTTATTTCTAGATATTATGATTTGTGGAGAACTATCACTTCAGAACCAGCTCTGATTAGAACGTGCAGCTTCCCCGGTCACTACCTCCATTCAAGTTGGACTTTAAATTATGCTGCATTCACTGTTCCCTGGAAAAAGGACGCAGAAACATTAAGTGTTGCATCACGTGGGTGAAGGTTCAGATTTTTTCAAGGACAGCATGTAACCCAACACACATTTGATAGCAGTCTCTCACTAAGAAGGTCTTCAGCTGTAAAATGACAGAACTAAATATTGTTATGTACAACGTCACACACACACACACACACACACACACCTTTTTCATAAGGCAGTTTTGCAGCACTGCCGATACCGATGCCAATATATAGAGGCTGTTGTCAGTCGACAGGTGATATGTGCTACCGATTTTTTAGCCACAGGTCAAGGCTGACACTTGGCCATTTTTTACACATTTGAAATCTAAAATGTCCCTAATAACATTTCTGAACCCGAGTCAAATTCTGTGCTCAATATTAAAATCAAACATTTAGCCAACAAACAGACATGGCAAAAACATTAGAGAGGGCTTTCCTTAGTGTTGCTTTTAGTTGTAAATCTGACTTCCTATTGATAATGTCATGTAGGTCCAAGCCTCACCTACAAAACACGGAGACAAAACAAAAGCTCAAACTTCTGAGCAGGAACCTAGAGCACAGGAGGGAAAACCAGAACAACGCTGACAAAGACAACGGACCAACAACACAGGGTTATACACACAGGGGCTGGGTGATTAAGGGAACTGGGCACAGGTGAGACTAGTAAACTGAGAGGAGTAGAAACAAGCAGGGGAGAAACCCAGATGTAAATCCTGTAAAACAAAAACTACTAAACTAAAATAAACCCAAACACCGTAGAACAAAGACACGGAAGATCTAAAGATAAGTAAACTAATGACCTAAATGGGGAAGCAAAAACAACACACTAAAGGAGATACGAACTAGAGGATCTGAAGCTATAGAAAACTAAAAACAAGTGACTAGGGGGAACCTGAGGGAAGCCAGGAGGGGGCTGGGGACCAAAGGGACACAGAACATGACAGTGTTTGTTTTTCCAGATGACAATTATTACATTTTTTTACCTCAATCTGAAGGGACTGCTTTCATTTGTGAGCTTGATCTGTTTCATGGTTTATGGTAAAGCTTTTTAAAGGGTTCTCTTAGTAAATTTGACACGTAGCCCATAAAACAGACTTGTTTGGAGGCAAGTTGCATGGCAGATTTGTTAACTATTTTTACAATCCAAACACACAACAACTTATTTTAAAGTAATGTTTATTTAGCACCAAACAAAATAATAAAATGAAAATAAGAACTTGGTGCAAATGATCATTTCCCAGTTACGACAGCAGTGACAGTGCATCAAAATAGCAATGAGAGGAAAGAAAACGGGACCTACCACAGCAACAACAACAACAAAACAACAATAAAACCAGCTCTGAAGAAAGGAAGGTTCAGCTCAAACACAAACAGGCCGATTTTTTAAAAAGATGCTCGAGGGAAACCATGAAAGAAAGTAATACAGTAACTCATAATGCTTCATCTGGTGCACACACACACACATACACACACACACACAAAGAGCCAAATCATGATAAACCCCATAGCCACATTAAAATCCAAGGGCATAATAAATATCAGCAAAAGCACCATTTAAGCTGAAATGTGTTTAATTGATCAACTTGTCTGTGCAACATTTAAAGAGTCAAATAAAAACAAGACGTTAAAATACCATTAAAACAGCTGAAATCATTACAACAGTCCTCACTCCCAATCACGACTCCTATGTACATCATTATCACAGGACAAGTGTCTCGTTCTGTAACACCGTTTCAATTTCAAAGCTATACAATGATTTCATATCAGCTCAGGAGAAAGACAGAAGGCCCCGTGATTTCTGAGCAAGCTGCTTTCAGTCATTAGGCAGCAGGTTTTTTACTGTATAACTACAGGCTGGAGCTACGGGAACCCTGCATGACCAAAATGACTTTCAAACTCAAAAGTGTTAAATCAACAAATGCTCCATCTCTTCCTGCGCGTTCGAGGGATAAATCTTTTATCAGGGATACCAAAATATAGAAACTCTTCTTACAGTGGATGTGCATGCTAGAAATATCCAACGATAATCAGTTTTTTACACTTTATCACAACAGCAGCCGCTTCACATCCGACTCCAGCTGTTCCCACGGGTTCCACTCAGCGCTGGGCTCTGGACGTGCAGCAGCTTCCAGATCCCAAAAATATCCAGAACAGCAGTTTTCATCTTATGTGATTAAGAATTTTATACATATATAAAAATCTTTTTCAAATCGGGGACAATTTCATCTTTTTTTTTCTACTGGCAGTGCAAACAGGAAGGCTTGTCCTCAAATGAAACATGGTAGTTTTTTTGTTTGACATCTTTGATCTTGTTAAAAATGATTTAAATGTTCAGCCCACAAAAAGGACTGGAGACTTTGCTGCGTTTATGGCTTCTGCTCGTAAGTATAGCTCCTTTTTTCCCCTTTCTCAGGCACCGTTTAGTAGCCACATTGATTTAAGATAAAACTGCTGAACAAATACTGACTAGGAATTAAATTCTCCCACATTTGGTCTGAGGACAAAATGGAGAAAGTACGAAGATGCGTTGCTGTTATTAAGAAATTCAATTTGCAATGAAACCCTTTTGGATCCACCGGTTTTCTGCTTCGTCAGCGTTTTATTTTGGACTTCGGTGCGGACCACCAGAGGACAACCTGTTACCAGTTCTTGGAAAACCCACGCCTCGTCTGCGAGTCACTTTAACTTGCTCTGCTTTGGCGTCACAGTTTGCTTCCGCTGATCTTTGGATGCTGAGGCTGAGGAGGAAGTGGAAGAAGAAGAGGAGGAAGAGGACGAACTCCATCGGGTCTCCACGCCTGTGCTCGTCATCTTGAGCTTGCGTCGTTTGGCGAGCGGAGCATTGTCGACGCTTTTCAGGAAAAAGCCTTCTCTCTTGCCGCGGTTAAACGCCTGGAGTCAATAGAGGAAGAGAGGCTGACAACTACTCAAAGGGCTCTGAGAGACTCACCACACAGGGACACTACCTTGTAGGTAGCATTGACGTAGGTGCGCACGGTTGGCCCGCTGGACTCTAACACATCAGGAGTGCACAATGGAGTGGTAGACATGGAGACGGCGCCCTGCAGCCAGCTGTTCTCCTTCAGATCAGAGAGTTTGAGGCGACTTTCTGGATCCACAGTCAATAGCCCTTAAAGATGCATGAAGTAAGAAAGTCAATGAATAAAGAATAAATACATTTCACTGTAATATTGAGTTCTTATTTTTAGGGCTGAATATTCGTTTCAAATTTGCAGTTAGCAGTGTTACCCCGGCTTTCCACGGGAGCCGTCAGCAGCACGTTACTGCAGCAGCACGTCATAGCTGCTGATAGGAACCGCTGTGGTCAACAGAAACTTTTCCACTGGAGCCGTCAGCAGCGCGAGTCGGCCGCGTCTCAGGAGCAGCATGTCGCGGCCCTTACGCGCCGGTTCTATTTTCTACGCGCGACGCCTCTGAAACGGGTCAAGTTCGACATTTTTGGGGAAGGAAAGACAGGAAATTGGACGCGGAAATGGAGAGAAGCTACAGAGATTTTCAGAATAAAGAACGTACTGCCTTCCGGTTGCTTTACTTTTAAAAAAGGTTACTAACTGTGCGTCCCCGTGAGAAGTTATCACCTAGCTAGCGGTCTCCTTTGTTTTTCAGGTCCGTATTGGCGATTATAAAACGGACAGAACATAAAACACAAACCATGTTGCAATTTTCTCCTGCTTGTTGTTGTGTTTACTGACGAAGTCACTCGTGTGACTTCGTGCTCTGTCGGTGACAGCTGCTCCCCTGCTGCTTCGCGTCTCGTGGGAAGGGCCAAGCAGCAGCTTACGCGAGCAAGACGTGCTGCTGCAGTAACGTGCTGCTGACGGCCCCCGTGGAAACCCGGGGTCAGCTCAACGTTAGCATCTAGACTTCTTTAGCCGATGTTAGAGTAAAGTAAAAAGATGGCGTGGCTTTTTAGAGGCACAAGAAATGACTTCGGAGTCGCTCCTGTTACTGGTCATCGTTCTGTCGACAAAGCTACAGATTTTTGCTGGCCGGTGTCAAATTACAAATGCTGATGCAGTGTTTGGGTTAAAGACTTAGCAAGCCTGCAGGTTCACACACGACTGGCTCCAGAACCAGGAAGTGTGGAGGCAGGACAGATTGTAAACAAAGACTTCATCCCTCTTCAGTCCTTTTACAAGGAGAAAAACTGACAAACCTCCAGCTTACTCATACTTTTAAATCACAGAAAACTTATCAGATTTTCCTGTGTTAAAAAAAATACAAATCAAATATGCTTTTAGAAGAAAAACAGAATGAACGCACAGATGATCAGAACAGATCAAGGTCACCATACTGACCCTCAATCTTAAGCCCTGACAGAGTCACCCACAGCAGAATTAGAAAATGTCACAAATAAATGAAGATCTGAACCTTTAACGAGCTCTTTAGCATCCTCTGACACACCCTTCCAGGCATCCCCGTCCAGTGAGAAATCGCCCTCTTTAATCTTCTGCATGATGTCTGCAGCGTATGATGAGGTCATCCCACGCTGCTCGCTCTGAAACGGCACCTGGCCTGACAGCATGGTGTACTGTTGAACACACACCAGGAGTCATTAGTACCGCAGTTAGCTTAGACGGATGTGATTGGGCTAAAGTACGCAGGTTGGATTACCAGGATGACCCCAAGGCTCCAGAGGTCACAGGACTTGTCGTATCCGGCGCTTTCAAACAGCTCCGGAGCGGCATACTGCAGGGTGAAGCAGGGCGTCTGCAGAGGGGCGCTACCTGCAGGACACAGGCGGGCAAATCCAAAGTCTATGACTTTGAGCACAGAGTCCTCCCCATCGTCTGTAAACAGCACGTTCTGGAAGGCAAACAAACAAAAGTAAAACACACGATCGCACCTTTCACCATATGGGGAGTGGGACGAACAGAAAAACAGTGGCGTACCTCCGGTTTGAGATCTCTGTGCACGACTCCAGCCTCGTGCATGTAACTGGCAGCTGAGACCAGACTCTGGAGCAGGTGGCTGGCCTCCGCCTCGTCAAACAGTTTCTTCTTCTTGATCCGTTCCAGTAACTCTCCACCCAGCAGAAGCTCCATCACTAAATATGTGTGGTACTGAAAGAGGCACGAGGCTAAGTGTTGGTAGCGTGTGACGGGCCTGTTGGCTGTGGAACCTCCTCTCTGTTCCCTTTACCTGATCGGTGTAGACGTCATACAGCTTGACGATGTTTGGGTGACCCTCGCATTGCCTCAAGGCAGCGATCTCCCTCTGAGTGTTTGCCTCCATTCTAACACAAGAAGAAAAACAACCAGGTGATGATATTCAACATTATAGGTAGAGTTTAGCTTCTGGGCATGTCCGCTCACCTGCGGCTGACGATCTTAACGGCGTACTCGTGGCCTGTTTGCTTGTGTCTGCATCTCCTGCACACAGAAAAGCTGCCCTCCCCGAGCGGTGGGCTGTGCAGATCCAGGTCATAGTGCAGGAAGAACTGGGACTCCTGATCCAACAAAGGAAACGTGAGTTTTGATCTGTCAGCAGACATTTTTTAACCTTTAACACACAGACAAGCAAAGAGAATCTAACAATAACAATAAACAAACTGGCTGTGGTGAAGTCCTGTAAATATCAAGCAGCACTTTGAGACGAAGAGGAAAGTTTGTGGTCACCACTTTGTAATGCTTTTCTAATTAAATTAAGGTGATTGGAACAAATGTGAGATAATTATAAGGTTTTACATAAAAAAAAGCACGGTGATGAAAAGGTACTGGTTGCAATGCTGCCACCTTGTGGTAGTGTTGTTGGGAGTGATAGGACTCGGTGCAGGTGGATTACAGTTTTTCTCAGTTGCTGAAGCACATTTCCTGAAACCTTGCTCCCTTTTCTCGAAACATTAAACACAAAAGCTCAGCTTCGAGCACGATTTACAAAACCTCTCGTTCCTCTTGCAAAATCAAACTTTCGTCTCAAAACAGTTTTAGCTGTGCTCAAAATCAAACGCTACTCTCAAATCATAAACAAATTACTCAAAATTACATACACCATCAAGCAGTCAGTAACCAACAAATAGAAAGCACGATGTTCAGGACCATACAATTTGTTTATTGTACCATATACAGCCTGCAGTCCGTTGTGCTGCAGCGTTCAATGGCAGCGAAAAACAATACATAAAATGAAAAACATCAAAGGACTAAACATGTTATCAGTGGGCCTCTTCTTGTCTGTGGGCTGGGTCAGGCCACAGCACTTCGACATCACATGAAATATTTTCCCTCCTGAGGCTCAAATTGGGTTGCACGCTAAGTCCTGCTTCCCTCATTGTCAGCCCATGGACCACAGCATGGTCTATGATTGCTGCTCATATTTCATTGGACATTTCCACTCTTGGTCTTGCTCTTCCTCTTCATCCTCTTCTTGCTCTTTCTTGCCCTCCTCCTCATCCCCCATCTCGCATACCTCCTCGTCCTCTCACATGAATTCTATCCATTGTCACACCATCTCATTCCCACCTTCAACAACCTGTTTGCTCTCTGAACTTGCTTATATTGGTTGTCACATCATTTGAAACAAGTGAAATGTATTTGGACTGACATTTGTGCTCTTGTAAATGTGCGCCACTTGTGTTTACCGTTGTGGATGACGTGTAGAGTGCAGGATGTGTTTTAAGAATGAGAATGCGTTTAGAGTTTTGCTAAAATGTGTGAAATGGTTTAAGGTTTTGACAACAGGCTCGACAGTTAGCTTAATGAGTTCAAGCAACTGAGAACTTTCTTCAGTCAATGGATTTTAGTGTTATAGCAAATGAGAAAAACTGTAAAAGGCACTAATCTTAGATACATTTGAAAATCATTCTTACGTGGATTTCTGAAGTTTGATAACTACATAATTAACTGAGGAATTTGAGTTAATTTCTCATCTTTAAAGGTCTTTTTCACTGTGATGATATTTATTATTTTTGAATTGCACATGCATGCTGACCAATGTTAACCCCCTTTGCCTGGATTAGCCGGCCAGCAGAAGCTAACCATTAGCATTAGCATCTCCACAACATGATGGAACAGGTTTGAGCTTGTGTTACTTCGTGGAGATAAAACATCAACGTTGCATTTTTTTTTACCCAAGCAAGAAAAGCAAACAAAGGCAGCGGAAGAGTTGCGTTGTTAGCCAATCAGAGAAGAGACATTTGCCTACCATGAATATTAATGCAAGACTCTAAATTTTGCCTTTTTCTGCTCCCCGCTCCTCAGACTAATATTTACTTCATGAAACAGGAGCGCCAGAGCGTTTTCCTCCAGAAAATGACTCACAAGGCATTGATTCATACTAGAGACCACAGCAGATTAATAGAATGAATGAATGAATGAATGAATGAATGAATGAATGAGAGCTTTAGAAGTGAAGTCAGTTTCCAAACAGAAAACAATGAAGAATTTCGCTTCTCAACTGATTTCCAGCCCCGTCTTGAGCCGTACCTTTAACATGGCGCTGTGCTGGACCGACGCAGAAGCTGGTCGGTCGGCTCCAACTTGAGATTCTACAAAATCTCCCATGACGGCGTTTTTATTGAACAAGATGGAAGGAGCGATGAAGGAGTAGCCCTGAAGCATAAAGAAGATAGAAGAAGGATGAACAGACACAAAAGGAACATGGACAGATTTTAAGGTGTGCTCTTCTGATTCAGATGGTTTTTGAATAATTAAAATGTTATCGTTGGGATCGAGTCTGAAGATGGAGGCCGACCTGGAACAGACGGTCTGTGCTTGGAGGCGTGCTCGCCGGGGAGTAGACGGGATCCATTCCTGTGAACTCCTCTGAAAAATTCCCCACATCCAGCTCATTCTTCAGCTCGGGTTTGAAGGGGCTCGCCACCTTCTTCTGTGCAAGGTCAGCCCAGTTCAGTCCCTGTTAGGAAACCGGAGGGAGGAGTTACAGACGGCAGGTGGAGGTGTGGGAATGTTGGGACATAAAGGACCTTGAAGAAGGCATGAGCTTTGATGTCCTCAGCTCCTCGTGGCCCAGAGCCCAGCCTCCGGTGGGGATCTTTCACCAGAAGCTTCTTCAGCAGGTCCTGGGCGACGGATCCGATCATAGAGGGGAACGGTGGATCGCAGCGTAAAATCCGTCTGGAAGACAACTTTACAGGTTCCATCAAACTGTTACAGCGACTAATGACTGATCTGAAAATACAAAGCAGCACCTACTTTGACACCTCACTCTGAGAGTTCCTTTCTCCCTCCAAAGTAAAAGGAGATGCACCGGTCAGAAGCTCAAACATCAGGATCCCAAGACTCCACCAGTCCACCGTCTGCAGAAGATAAAGACAATCCTCGAACCAAACCTTTTAAACCCTCAGGTGAGCAGACGTTTAAGGGGTAATCTACCTTCCCATGGCCAGTCTTTCCCCTGATGATCTCAGGAGCCATGTACTCAATGGTGCCACAGAAAGAGTAGGTTCTTCCCTTCTGCAATCAGGCCAAACATTATTGCTGACACACACACACACGCACACACATGCACGCTCTATGCTGGGACAGTAGGACTGCTTTACATACGTCTTCTTCCAGAAATTCTTTGCTGAGGCCGAAATCTGTCAACACCACGTGGCCCTCGCTGTCCAGAAGGATGTTCTCCAGTTTGATGTCTCTGTACACGATCCCAAGCTGCACAAAAACACCAAAACATTTCCCAGCTGCATTTAGTTTAGAAGTATTAGTTTGTGAGGAGACAGAACACGCATAATTAAAAACAATGAAATGTATAGAAGACAAGATAGGAGCAAGTGGTTAAATCCTTACATTCAGAGATTTCCTAGCAAACAAACACGGGATGGTTGATCTAAAAATGTTCCACTTTTCTCTCGTCGGTCCACTGAAAAAAATATTTCCCCCAAAGTCTTTGGGATCATCAAGACGAGACGGGTCTTTGTGCTCTTTTAGGTCCTGGAACTCTCCCATGGATGCCACTTTTGCCCCCTGGTCTTTTTGCTTATTGATGAGGGGTGACCTCTGACCTTAACCCAAACCAAGTGAGGCCTGCAGGGCTTTTAGATGTTCTGTGTTCTTTTGTTCTTACATTTCTTTAGAACAGCATGATGTGAAGATCTCTTTCTCAAGAAAATAAAACAATAACGGGTTCTTGATCAGATGAATCTGCAAAGGTTTGTTTAGAAGAACCAGTTTCTTTAAAAGGCTGCACTTTGATTTTAAATCATACGTTTATGTTGGAGTACATTTCTCTATCATTTGAAGTGGTTCAATACAAAAATGCATATATATATTTTTAACAATCAGAAAGATTCACGTGAAGAAAAAACTGTAACGGCCTTTTAACATCGACTTGGGAAGCGTTCTTGACTAACGGGTAACCTGATGAGGATGAAAAAGTAGAACACGGTTGGTTTTCTGTGTTTTGATCTAATTTAACAGCCAGAGCAGTTATGTAACATTATTAGGTAACCATTTCCTTGAGCTAGAGAAAATTTCAGACCAAAAAAGGAACTTCCTGTTTACAAAAAAAAAAAACATGGAGTAATAAAGTCAGCTGAGCAGGAGCAGAGAAGCACTCACCTTGTGCAGGTGCTCCAGGGCCAGAATTATTTCCCCGATATAAATACGCACCGCCTCTTCGGAAAAGTGATCCCGCTGGTACAAATGGGTGAACATCTCCCCGCCACTCACATAATCTGTACACACACACACACACACACACATACACACACACAGAGAGCGAGAGAGAGAACACAGAAGATAAACACACTGCAGGACAGAAACAACATCTGCTCAGCACTGCGAGACTCACAGCGTGCTCCGTAAATCTCCTGGTGTTCCTGGACTCACCTAGGATCAGATGCAGTTTGCTCTGAGTTTGGAAGGCGTAGTGAAGTGTGACCAGGAAGGGCGACTGGCGGATGTTCTCCAGCACCTGCCTCTCAGTGCGAGTGTGTTCTGTCGTCTTTGCTTTCTGAATGATGGCTGCCTTCTTTAACACCTGCAGGTGTGAAATAATCGCACAACGAAAACGTGCAGCTTTTCACTCCTGTTGAGCCTCAATGTAAAAAAATTACTCCAAATATATTAAAACTACTTCATGGCATTTAAAGTCACAACTATAAGTCATCACAGTCGAGCATGATTGTTGGTACCTTCATGGCGTACAGCTGGCCGGCGTCGTGGCCGGTGTTCTTCCTCACCAAAAACACTTTTCCGTATGCTGCACAGAGACACACACAGTTACTCACGCTGCAGCTGACAGAAAATAGAGATGAATAATCAATGTGTTACCTTTGTTGAGCTTTAAATTAAACATATTTACTACGTGTTTGCTGCTCACACACACAGAAATAGGCTGCAGACACCAACAGAAGCACAGCGGTCGCTTCTCGATGCTTCAGTTGAAAAAGGCCGGCGGGGATTTGTTTACATACGGCTCTCCCGACGCCCCGCTACACCTTTTCAGTCAGGTGCAGGTCTGGACTTTGACTGGACTATTGCACCACCTTGATGCTTTTCTTTTTCAACCATTCTGTTACAGATTTGCTGCAGGATCATAGTCCTGTTTCAAGATCCATTTTGGTCCCAGTTTCACCTTGGAGGAGAGAATTTTCCCCAGCAAACCCTTACAAACCAGTCATACTCCATCCATCCAGCACTTAAGAGGTCTCTCTTAGATGTTTTCAGAGTGCTGTACAGCACTACCTCACTGAGAACTCTGTTGTTTTAAGTAAACTAGACTCGGGCTAAAGGATCTTGGCCAATTTAGCATCAACTAAAAACAGTATTTCAGGATTTGTGTAGATTCTTACCTCCGGTGCCCAAAACCTTGAGCAGCTCAAAGTTCTCCATGCCAACCCTTTCGGTGTGACCTGTGAGGTTGGCTTGATGAGCAAAGAACAAAAAATAAAATGTAACCACTTTGGAATCTTTTAAAGGCATTTAAAAACAAATGCACATAAAGCTACATAAATATTTAAAAACTTTTTAAAAGTTTTAATATTTACACCACTTTGCAAAAAGATGTTAGCTGAAATTGTATGCGTAGATAAAGTTGTAAAGTAGGCAGTAACAGTAACTGACAATCACAGCAGCAACTAAACTGAAGTTTGCACACAGTTGCTGCAGATTCGTCTGCTGCTCCTCTATGATGCGATTCTCCTGTTCCACCGAATCCTGAAGGTTCTGAACCCGTTTAAGTTCTGGTGACTGTGGAGGCTGTTGAAGTCTAGCAAGATAGACCACCGTCATGTTTGGGAAAACCAGTTTGAGGTGATGTTACATGGTGCATTATGCTACTGTGGTCAAAAAAGACTGGGCATGGTCAGCTGCAGGGTTTACATGATGCTCAGGTCTTTCCTACGGGATCCAAAGCCAGCCAACAAAATTTTCCCCACAGGATTACATCACCAGTAGCGGCACGAAGCAAGAAAAATCGGGATAGATCCGTGCTTTTGTGTTGTTTCAGACCCGAGCATCTAAATGTTGCAACAGAGATTCATCAGACCAGGGAACATGTTTCTAATCCAGTTCTGATTAACTCTCTTCTTAGCTGACACGAGTGACAGTTGGTGTGGTCTTCTGCCACTGGAGGTTGCCTGCTTTAAGGATCAATGTGTAGATGCTGTTGTCTGTTTGGAACCAGTGGATATTTGAGTTCCTGTCTTTCTTTGATCTAAAACCACTCACTAATTTTCTTAATTGCTTATTTGTCAGTAGGACCGTGGGGAACTGGTGCCTAACCCCTGCACTCGTTGGGTAGTGGTGGAAACCCCGGTAGATCAGCGGCATCAGTTACATTCATCGTCATTCTGAGGGTTTGGACTCCAGCCTTCATCTCTAGATGTCTAAATATATGTCATAGCTGACAAATTATTGGTGATATATTGCATTTACAGTTTAATTCTAAGATATTTAACAGAAGCTTCAGAAAGAAACTTTTACAAAAAAAATTAAAGAACAATCCCAGGATCTCAAATGAGACCTAATCTAAAGTTATCATGTATTTGTTATGTTATTACGTGAAGAAAGAGCAATTCAACTTACCATTGGTGATTTCATGCATGACTGTACAGGCCTTCTCATTTGTTTTCCCATCGGAGTCATCACTACTGTCAGATGTGTCCCCAGACATAACTTTAAAACGGGACTACAGACTGAGTATATGAAGGTGGATTTTTATTGTTTTCAGTCGTTTTTGATTCAGACTCCACAATATAAAGAAAATCTACTGTAGTCTCATTGCCAAGAACACGGGGATTACGGAAATGACAGGACAGCTGTGCTTTCCTTCTAGTGTTGTTGCATTGACGTTAAATTCACCGGAAAAATCAGTTTCGCAGTTTTTATTCAATCATGTGATCAAAAAGAAAACACAGACGTGTCACTATTTCGATTCATGTTAGCCACAATATTGTCGTAAAAATTAAGGGACGTCTCCAGCCAAAATATCCGTTGTGGTATCAGGACAGTTTAAGACGCTATTGTTAGCATTAGCTGTTCCATAGTCATTATTCATAAAATAGCTGATAGTTACTTGGTAAAAGGAAAATAGATCTTACTTTTAAAGGACGGGTTGATCATTAAAAAGCGGCAGTGGATGGCGTGTTAAAACCTCCAGCGTTTCGTAATGATCATAACAGTTAGAAAGAGAAATGTTGTTAGGCGAATCGCTGCAGCTGTCCGTCAAAGTTTGAACCATTAGCTAAGCAGCTACTGGCTGGTTAGCCATTTTAACGCTCTTCAGATACGGAGCGGTCAGGCAATGTTGCAAAAAGGCAGTCACACTGGCTCATTGCCTTCTTTCTGTCCACTGGAATTAAGCGAATGACTCTCCCATCGTGAGAATGTTTACATCTCACTTTACGTTCTAGGACAAAAACAGCTAGAACACCAGGATGCTTCCCGAGACAACCTGGGCGACGGCCAGTCACGTGACCAATATTTGTGGGCGGAGCGATCTTACTAGAGACCAGTCAACTTGCTAACTAAAGCGGAAGTACACAGAGCTAAAGTGGCAGTTTTACTTTTTCTACATACACAATAAATGATAATTTCTCTACCAAGTAAACACAAAAACCATAATCACTACACTTTGACGCTATGGGACGTGACTTCAGACGGCTTCCCTTAGATCTGGTTAAGTTTGGTTTGCATTTATACAAACCTAAAATGTCTAAATTTAAAACAAAACTAGTATTTTCATTGTAAAACTGTCTGCATTTTTAAATACTATGGCACAGTTGTGGATTATTTATGCTTAGATTAGTAAGTAAATAAATCATATTTTGAATGAGGAAACTTTATTGCACGTTATAGCTGACAAAGGGATGGTTATTTTGAGGTGGGCTATGAACAAATCGTACGGTTGTTGCAGATTGCTATTTGAATTTAAGTAAGGAAAAATAGCTCAATTGTTCAAGATTTACAATAAGCCACAAATGTTGCAGAAATGGCTCAAGACAACAATTCTGGCAGAAATGTGAATTCTTTACAAAAGGCATCCCAGAATCTCTCACCAATTGCTAATTTAAATAATTTAGAATTCAATATCGAAGTCTACAAAAAATAAAAAAGGTTTGTTTTTAATTAATCCTGTTTCTCTAACTTAGTGTCTCCATTGCGATTAACCACTAGCGCATCAAATCAGTAAGAACTAACGATTCAAACTGATGCCAATGCAAAACACATCTACATTTTATAATTATCTATTCCTTATTTCACAAGCCCCTTCAAGTCAAAACTGGAACATGTACTTCTGTAATTGAAATAAACAGAAAAAACAAACACTGTCCCTTTGAGACATTCAGATCATCTATATTTTTGAGTACAACTTGTTTCCATTAACACATGACACCTCCTGAGACAGCTTCTTTTACATTTGTTCTGTGTGGATTGATAACATGACAACTGTGTGTGTTTTGCCCAGGATGCCCAAACTGATTTCTGCTGTGAACATCTACAGATGTTTGCAAAGATGACCCTCTGCAACTGTAGCAACATCTCCCACCCCATGCTGAAATCATAACACAAATACAGCATGACAACAGCAGATTTGAGAGGATCCTAAGCCACACATATGGCAAAGTGATCACAAAACAAAAAGGATGTAAGCATTTTTCCCCTCTGGTGGACAAACTGTAAAGCCAATAAAATGAACCAGAAAAAGACTTGCATAAATAAACCTCAACATGGATGGGTGTTCTACTTCGCAACTAACACCAGGTAGTGCTAATAAGATGTAGCATACTGTGAGTAAATACACAACATCTCTAGCAAAAGGTGCTAGTTTACTAAGGTAAATCCACCCCTAGAGTGTAGCGTTCTTCTAGCCACGCTGACATACTCAGCTGCGCTTTGACGTGAATTCAATTAAGAAAAAATCTAAAATATTACCATAGATGCAGATCAGTAAGTAGAACTGTGCTAGGTCAAAAAAATTAAGTTCTACTAAAAGCAAAGGGTAGCTAAATCAGAATGAAATCCAAGATGCTTGAAAGATTTAATACATTTAGTTTTACAAATCCAATGTAAAGCTTTGATGAAGTGGAAAGAACAGAAAAAACAGACACCAATTGAGTAGAACTGTCTGTACAGCTCTCATTCTGGGCAGAAGGCCTTCTGTTTTCTATTAATTTTAGTCATAAGAACAGCTTTAGGGTGGATTTTCCTGTTTGGATAGAGCACATGGGTGTTCAGTTTCTGATGTTTATTTTTTAAGCTCCATTACAGACTCTGTACAGTTCTTTTTTTTTGTATGTTGACCAAGGTGATAAGGAGCAGATACGAGACGCTTCCGCACCACAACGTCAAAGCAGTGAACATGAAATAAAAAAAACTGATCAGTGATATCATTTTGAATAGAAAGGCAAGAAAAGATTAAATATTTAAGAGGGAGCTGCATGTTGTTCCGCCTCAGGGATTCCTTACAGGGGACGAGCTCAGCTCACATCAGCGGATGGCTATCAGCCCCACATCAATGAGTTTCTGTATCTTCTGAGCAATAACTGGATTTTTCAAGTGGCTGTGAATCAAACAGAAACATATTTAATCCACATCAACCTTTAGTGATGTCAGGAGAAGACTGGGAAGGAAATGTCAGATTTATCAGCAAACATACTCGCTAAGTGCCTGAGGGTCCTTCTGCATCTGCTCGAGGATCAGACGCATGGCTGGGTCGCTCATGATCTGCTGCACCTCTGGATCAGCCATGGCCCGTTTCTTTACCTCCTCTGGACTGTCGTTCCTCATGGCCTGACTGACCATACAGCGCTGCAAGCCTTCTGAAGCTTCCTGCAGATGAGGGGGAACATGTGGCAATCAAAACAAATCCCCCAGACTCAGCAAAAAATAAAAAATAAAAAAAAAGCAGCTTTGTTTTGAGTAACATAAATTAACAAACCTAGAATAAAGCATTTATTCAAATCACAATTGATTTCAGAGATTATTTTTTATGTTTGAAGGGGCGAGCTACCAGAAGCTAATACAGGAAGACTTCTGTGGTCTGAACCTGAGCTAGCAAGCAACATGGCCTAACCTCCTCGCCCTGAGCAGATTAGGAACTATTTGAACTCAACATTTTTGAGTTAGAGCTGATACATCTAGTCATCTGCATATAGCTTGTTTGTCCCAGTAAGCCCATGGTTTAGTTTCAGCTAGCTAGGAACTCATCAGCAGCTACTGATGTTGATTCTCTCTCCTGCATCCCAGAAGGCAAAGCAAATCAGGCAACTGGAGAGAATGTGGCTCAGATTTACAGAGTGCACATGGTCGCTGTGTTGGACGAAGGTCAGATCACGTTCACACTTGGCTTGTTTTAAGCTCATAAATGTTTGAGGCCACTGCTCTCTTAATGTCCCGCTTTCATGTCTGGATTCTGATTTTGTCATTGAAACACTTTGATTCTTATCAGCCACCCTTTAGTAGGTTTGCTGAATTGTTTGAGATTATAGTCCATTATTGAGATTATGACCGAGATTACAACACAGGACCTTCTTTCTGAGCTACTTTAACTGACACAGACAGCTTCAGAACTCACTTTAGAAAACTTGACCACATACGTTTTATTATCAATTTAGTGACTAAAGCAGCTCTTTGGTGTCTGAGCTTTAGTCGAGGTGTTTGTGAATGTCATTAAGACAAAACGTCTGTTTTTACTGAGTCGAGAGAAACGTGAGCAGTTTGCTCAGACGCAACGTAAAAACTAATTATATCATGCAGCCAAGTTCTTTTTAGAAGGAAGAGGACTGTTCCTTCTAGGGCTGCCACGTTAGTCGACTCGCCACGACGACACTGACAAACAAAATAGTGGACTATTAATTTAACAGTCGACGCGCCGTTTATTCTGAGCATGTTCGGCGGTTGCTTCCTGCCTTTCTGCTCAAGGCACATGCGCAGTAGTGACCATCCAGATCAGCCTTCATCAAGGGACAAAGGAAACATGGCGACTCGGCTACGTAGCTCAAAAGTTTGGGAGCATTATACAAAGACAAAACTAAGGCCCATAGATTGCATACTCTGCAAAGTGAAACCCTCCTTTCATGGGAGCACATCAGCGATGCACGAGCACCTTAAAAGGAAGCAAGTCATGGTGGAGAACAAAGAGTCACCTCTGTAAACTAACGTTCTGACAGAGGCCATTGTGAGCATGTTGGTCACCAGACTCCTGTCCATGGTCAGTGATCAAAGTGTTGAAGAGATGATCAAGCAGCTAAACCCAGAATACCATGGCCGATCCCATTTCACCAGCATGATGGAAAAGAAATACGAAACAACCTCTAGGGTGGTGTGTGTGTGTGTGTGTGTGTGTGTGTGTGTGTGTGTGTGTGTGTGTGTGTGTGTGTGTGTGTGTGTGTGTGTGTGTGTGTGTGTGTGTGTGTGTGTGTGTGTGTGTGTGTGTGTGTGTGTGTGTGTGTGTGTGTGTGTGTGTGTGTGTGTGTGTGTGTGTGTGTGTGTGTGTGTGTGTGTGTGTGTGTGTGTGTGTGTGTGTGTGTGTGTGTGTGTGTGTGTGTGTGTGTGTGTGTGTGTGTGTGTGTGTGTGTGTGTGTGTGTGTGTGTGTGTGTGTGTGTGTGTGTGTGTGTGTGTGTGTGTGTGTGTGTGTGTGTGCATCTTTGTCTCCGTTTCTCTCTGGACACAAATAACATAAATACTAGAATATAATGCATTTTATGATCAAATAAAAAGGTTGCTGACTGAAGAATCAAACTAATATTTTTTAAAGCATTACACATTTTCTTTGTGTTAAATCTTAACCTACTTTATTTGATATAACAGTTATTCATCTGGTAAATAAACAAACTTTAATATCTTTTATCAAGACGGTAAAGCAGACCCTCGGAGCTGTTGATGGTCCCTGACTGCTGATGTGTGGACCAGCCGTGCTACAGAGGCATACCTTGGTGTGTCCTACTATTTCCTGAGTTAAGATTGGAAGATGAAGCACTTCAACCTTGCCACCATGCCTCTTGTGAACACAAGTCATCTCTGTGTACATTTTTTTTTTGTTTGTTTGTTTTAGGTGCCTACCTCCATGTGACTGTAGCATTTGTATTAACAGGTTACAAAGTTAATTAAAAGTTGTTTGATAAGCGATCATCTAGTCTTTATTACTAGATGGCACATAGCTGATCACACTTCAGACTAGAAGCTAATGATGGATAGATTAGAGCACCCTGGTGCAATAAGTTATACTTTTACGAATGACACAATTAGTCGACTAATCGTCAATAAAACTGGTGATTAGTCGACTATTAAATAGTCGTTTGTGGCGGCCCTACTTCCTTCCAAAACTAGACTTGTTCATCTCTTTCACTCACCTAGCCTGGCAAGTCATCCCATATATGTGAATCTATAGACTGACAACTGGTGTTGTGTGACTTATATTTGACTTAATCACATTTAATATGTGTGACCTTTGACATTTTGTAATGGTAAATTGTTGCAGCCACTTCAACAGAAATAAATCCCAGCAGTGGTTAGCCTGGCGCTGCAAAAATTGCCGAGTGTTGAAGAGTGTCACAAGACAAAGTAGGGTGATGGTGCAGAAATAGTGAGAAGAACAAATGACGTAAGCATGTCCTCCATCTCCATGTTGACTCACTGCACCACTGTCAGTGAACCTTCAGGAATATAACCAGCATATTCAGCTCAATGTGCACCATATGTCTGTTTTACACAACCAAGTGTGTGCTTGACTCACAAATAGTTTTTACATCATAAAATGTTGAAAAACAACTGAATGCCAACGGATACCTAAAGTTTACTTTTGGCTGTTTTTCCACATCTCAGATTGAACTCAGGTCATTCTGAATATTACAAATGGGGAATTTTATGTGAACTTGATAAAAGGTGTATTTTTTCTGAATGATAAATGGCCTGTATTCATGTAGCACCTTCTAGATTTGTAGAACCCCCCAAGGCACTTTACAACACTCATAGATGGTGATGAGCTACAGTGTAGCCACAGCTGTCCTGGGGCACACAGACAGAAGCGAGGCACCACCTGATAGGGCTGCTCGATTATGGCAAAAATAATAATCACGATTATGGTAACTGAAATTGAGATCTCGATTATTTAAGACTATTTATCACTTTATGTTAATTTTATTTGTTTTATTCAGTCATAAAATTGCTCAGGGCACAATCAGGACTAAAATAAATAAGAAACAAGATGATCACTAAAATAACTCCTGATTCCCAGTATAAAAAGACCAATATACTTATAGCTCATAGTTTATGACCCAAGGGCTATAGACCTTGGTTTAACTCATTTAAGTCTAACCAGTACAGACCCAAATACCAATATCTTGCAAATACTGACAGCAAGAATTATACAGTGGCATTTATAACAAATAAATGCAAATAAATTGATGTTCACAAAATGTTGCATAACATTTATTGAGTCGTGTCAAGGTGCTGTAGGAGAGTGCACTAGCACCGTGTCCTCAGAGAGATTAGTTATTACTTAACAGCGTGAGGAACTTATTTCTACCTTATTTATAAACTATTTATTTACAAGTCCATCAGTTAATATAATAATTGTCCCAACCACAGCTGCACCCCCCAACCCGGTCTCATAGCAATCAGGGGCAAGCTGCACGTGTGTTTAGCGTGCCGCACTTAGCCGTTTTTAGTGGCTCAGGAGGAGCCTACAGTTACGGTGTGTGTGTCACTCCCTCTGGTTAATCCAACAGGGAGCCGGCTCTGAGAGCCGTTTCTTTAGCGACCGACACATCACTACATCATTCCCTTTCCTAATGTCCTGAAGAACTGTCCGGAGTGCAGGCGGAGTTTTTAGCTAACCTGCAGGAAATGTCAACGACAGTTATCCAAAAAGTAGCCAAGGGTTACCAGAGATGTTTCTGAGGTGTTCGCTAGGTACTTTTAGGATTTAAAAGTCAAGAAGGGGGTCTGAAAAGCTGTTAGAAATAAGTCGCCAACTTGGCAAAACTGTGGGAGGAGCGCTTCGTTTGCAACTCAAGGCAGCGCAAGTGGGAGGAGCAAATAATCGGCTTGTTTTGTTTTTATAATCGTTCAATACTCAGATCGTAATTGGGATTAAAATTCGATTAATTGAGCAGCCCTACCGCCAGTCTTTTTGACCACCACCAGCAGGTAAAGTGGGTGAGTGTCTCGCTCAAACATACAACTGCACAAGACTCTGTGGGGCGCCAACCTGCAACCCTCCGGTAACGGAGCGGGGCGAGTACTTAACTCCTCTGCCCCGAAAGATTAACTTAGACAAGCATCTCACTGAGCTGCAACTGTTGTTGGAGACACAAAAATGCTACATTTCTAGTTATTGTACTTTGACAAGCTTTAAATAAATTGCTGAGGTGAAAAACAAACACATTCTGACACATTTTTCCATGTGTGGTGTGCACTACCTTGGATGAAGATTCCAGCTCGAGGGCCTTCTGGTAGGCGTCCATAGCTTTGGAATAATCTTTCATGGCCTCTAACGCGGCTCCTTTACGTGTGTAGCCTTTAACTGTAATCAAACGTGGTTTTAATAGCTGTGAAAATAAAACAAATGACCCTACATACCATGTTTGTCCAACACTATATTGTAAATACTCACTGAATGTTGGCTCCAGTTTGATACACTCTTCACAATCCTGAGAAACAAACCAAAACGTTTTGTTTACCGACCCTACTACCAAACACAAGCGGAAGATAGATCCGTGTAAAACAAGCTTCTACCTTCAGAGCTAGCTGAAACTCCAGCAGCTTTGTGTAGCAGGCAGCTCTGTTACTGTACAGTTTGGCATCATTAGGGTTTCTTTTAATGGCTTCAGTGTAATGTTTCATGGCTAAGGGGTAGTCTCCTGTGAAATAGGAAAGAGAGGGAGAGAGAGAGTAGTCTTCTTCACTGAAGTCCTTCAACTCAGCCCAATAGAAACCCAACGAGCTCACAAACCTTTCTGGAAGGCATCATTGCCCTTGTTCTTCTCTTCCAGCGCCAAATCCGGATTGATGTAGGCTAGTTTTTCTTGCTCTTTCAGCATCTTCTCTGCCTGCAGGAACAGAGATACAAACTCTGCATTAAAGGTCCCATTTAATAATAAAAATGTTTATAATTTGGGTTTCATTTTAGGAACTAAAGGTTTTGAGACCCTTTAGGTAGAAAGTCAGTAAATGTGTTACTCAATCATCAAAACAAGCCTTTGTTCAAATCACAAACAAACCGTACCTGCTGACATTTCTTCAGCACGTCAGGGGTGCGGTGCTCCGTCAAACTCTTGTTGAAGTATTGAATTGCCTCTTTGTATTTGTCCTGCTTAAAGTACGAGTTCCCGATTCGAGCCAGAGCCCTAACAACGACAAGAGGATGGAGATGCCTCAGTGACAAAGGAGTCATTTCAGACAGCATTGACAGATTTTCGTAGCCACATTTTTTTTTAATTGTGAGGTAACAAAAATGTGTTCAGACCATAAAATGTACAAAACAGGACAAATTGTGAGATGTTATTTAATAATCGACTGAACCCTTAAAAATGTAACCTTTTGGCTGTTTTGCTCTTTTTAGAATTACTTTTTCCACACAGGGCAATGTAGGTTTGGATTTTGTTCTCTCCCTAAATAATGAAAACCATCATTTCAAAACTGCATTTTGTGTTTACTTGTGTTATCTTTGACTAATGGTTAAATGTATTTGATGATCAGAAATATTTTGTGTGACAAACATGCAAAAGAATAAGAAATCAGGAAGGGGGCAAATAGTTTTTCACACCACTGTATATGAACTAGACCAGGGGTCATCAGCCCGCAGCTCTGGAGCGCATGCTGCTCTTTCATCCATTTGATGCGGCTCTCTGCTTGTAAAATGATTGAATATTGAATTAAATGTATTTTATTTTACTACATAAATGTTTTATCTGTATGCCAATTCTAAATGTAATCTTTTAAAATCTAAACAAAAACGATAAAGACCTGAAATGACATGTCACCTGCTTGTGCATAATCAAATGTCTCTATAGGCGCTCTCTAAGCTGAAGAGAAAATGAGATTCTGGACTTTTGTCTAAGACAGGCTCATGGACATTGGAGACAGGAACAAGTGCTTTTCAGCCTAAGTTTCATAACCAGGGAACATTTTCTACGTGACAAGTCTCTCTGAGAAGCGGGGTTTGGAAAACATTCGATTCAGTGAGATGAATCTTCCTGGATGCGCTCCGATTTTGCTGATGCCAGTTACCGACTTGCTCCAATTCTCTCCACATCTTCAGCTTGCCGTCCACCTTACACGCACGCTGACAGCGAGCTGTGCTGAGCACAGTGTCCAGTAAGATGCTCAGGTGTTCTGGTGGAAATCTTTTCTTGATTGATTCAGCTACCTCTGCGATGTGCATACCGTAAATCCTCTAATACAGGCCCGGGCCTGTATTTGACTCAAGCTCATCGAGCTCCAGGCCTTTATTGGAAGGAGGGCCAGAATTAGAGGCAGGCCTCTATTTCTATTTGAGCAAAATGAACTAATGGTTCGCTGGAGTTTTTGACAATTAAAATTGCGCCCACATTTTCAAAGTTAAACACATTTCTTTTAACAACGGTAGTTTCTGCTTCAGCCATCTCCCCCCTCCCCCTGCTTCAGTCCTCTCCCCCCTCCCCCTGCGCAGCGGCCGCAAACTCACTGATGCGCCTGCAGCCTCTCGGAGTTCCTGCTGCTCTAAACATTAAAATAATTATTTCATTTTCTGTTCCTCACTTCTGATTACCTTCAATGGTGTCTGTTTGTTGCAACCACCAGGTACAAAAACTAACTTGTTTTTATTTGACTATTTTTCTGTCCTGCCTGTTTATTATCTTCCTGCATCTCCTCTCAATCCTAAAGAAAAACTGCTACCTGGGTTCATATATATTCACCTCATGAGTTACCTTTGAACTGCAGTTCTAAAAGATCTACCGACCGCAAAAACTGCGGAGTGCTCGCTGCTTGGCGGCCGCATCAGTGATCGGTGCGTCACAGGATGACAAGGTGATGCGCCTCGCTCCGCAGTGAAATGCATCAGGCGCAAATAAAAGACAGAAAGCATTAAAGGACATGAACTGACATGAACGAACGCGTGTTAAATTAGTTTTTGAGGTGGCGACACCTGATTGTTACTGTGGCCGTGCTCAGGACGCAGATCTACCGACCGCAAAAACAGCAGAGTGCTCCCTGCTTGGCAGCCGCATCAGTGATCAGTGCGTCACCGGAGGACAAGGTGATGCGCCCCGCTCCACAGCAGCGAAACACATCAGGCGCAAATAAAAGACAGAAAACATTAAAGGGAATGAACCGACATGAACGATCGCGTGTCAGTACCGACGCTCTGGCACAGCGCGTTGCCCCCCCGAGCGCAGGAGCTTGTCACCTGCTGACAGCAGGCTGCTGTCTTTTCCGAGGGCTGCATCTTGCCGGTCATTATCACGTGACAGCGACTAGTCGACGACAGGCATAAAAAGTCACTATAGTGAAGTCGACTAGTTCATTCAACCCCTATTGCTCCCCAGTGTTCTGCAGCGCACGTTCTCTTTGAACTTGATATTGTAATGACCTGGCTGGGGTTGTAAACTAGGTGCATTCTGGGTATTGTGTTATATGTGTTTCCTATCGTTCTGCTAGTTCCTATGTGTTGATTTGCGTGTTGTGTGTGTTATGTTAATGTAAGCCACAGGGAAGGTGATGCGTGTTCTGTGGAGCGGGTTGAATTAGCATGGTTAACTGACACCGTGACTCTGTGTGGTAGGAGCGTGATAGAGGATCGGTGTCTGTAGCGTTACAAAGTGTTAAAGAAAAAGCCTAATAAAGGTCTGTGTGAACCTCTACTGCCTCCTGCTGGTTGATCTGGGGACTATAAACCTGCCGCTGAGACGCTCGGGGGTCGCTACAATATAAAATTTTTGCCTCCTCTTCATCTCCGCACGGTTCAAGTTACCCTCGCGGTCTATCACTGGCAAATCAAAAGTGAGACGATGACACAACCGCCCCCCGTACTTGCTTGTTACCACATTCCACCCAGCCACAATAAGAGACCGGCCATTATTCACCTCCGCCGACTCCGACACCTGCCAAAATATGAGACCCGGCCGTTAATTGAATACAGGCCTGTATTAGAGGATTTACGAAAATTAAAATGTCAGCGCACCTGCAGCCTTGAGGTTTCTACTTCAAAATAAACGGACAAATACAGGAAATATCCGGTCAATGCAAACTCTGCCATTTAACGGTTTCACCTTCTTCTGAAGACTATTGCAAAGAGAAACATAACACCAGAGCCATGCGCACTGCACCATTATCGCCATCACTGTAAATTTGGGAAAAAGTGAATTGATCGGATCCTTTTACCTTTTCAACATTGTTTAATGTTTTGTTCAGTACGGTTTAATTACAGCAATCCCAACGAGAGAGCCTGGATTTGTATTCTGAACAGCTTAAACACGCTTTAAAAGGAGACACGTGTGACGTGTTAAAAAGCGTCACCTGCCCAGGCCCGGTAGGCGCACCCAAAACGCCGCGGCTGCTGTGGCTCCCAGTGTTTTCTTTACTGTGGGAAACGGGTAATAATGGCTGTTTGATGGGAACAGGTTGCCGGCCCCTGCACTAGACAGTCTGATCTAGTAGCCAAGTAAATGGCTCATAAAGATTATCCGCCATCACCAAAAAGTAAAAGATTTTCAGTGTTAATTATTTATCTGATGCATAAAAACACCATGGTTAGGCACAAAGGAAAAACAGATGCATCTTCCATTATTATTACTATTATTATTATTATTATTATTATTATCATTATTATTATATGCGCTGGTGGGTGTTAGATCTTTTCTTCAAGTCTGCCAGTTGAAAACAATTTTGCAAATAACAAAACAAGACTTCAATATTTCAAATGCTTAAGTTTGAGTTTCTGTTAATCTATAGTCCAGGTCTGGACACTTTGGGTTTTTGGTTTTAGAAAGACAAATGGTTCTTCAGGAACCAGAAAAAATAAAGTCCTTTAGAAAACTCACTTTGCGATTTGTCTGTAATCTTCTCGGTTCTCTCTGCCAACATCAATGGCCTTCTCACAAAACTCTCTGCATCTCTCAAAGTCGCCCATCTCGAAATACACAGCTACAACAAGAGCAACACATTCACATTCAGTTATATTACCAAGAGATCAGCAAGTGTCCTACAAGCATTCAGGATGTTTATGTTGGAAAAAAAGTTTGTTTGTAGCAGCAGAATGCTTGTAAACATAAAAATAATAAAGCATAAACACTTACTAAAATATAGAATTAATCTACAATTAGAATTTTTTTCAAACGAGCCCAAATGTGTGTGGCTTGTTTAGTTCACCAACATGAGTGGGAACGAACCTGCTTGGTTGGATAAATACGTCATATTGGTGGGGTCGTGCTTAACGGCCTCTTCATAATGTTTCAATGCTGCTTCAAAATCCTTATTCTTGTATGCAGCATTTCCGAGTTCTTTCTCCTTCAGAGCCTGTCAAAATTACAAATATGCATCATCTTAAAAACAAACATAATTCAACACCAGATTGATGTAATGTTTAGATTTTTAGCCACGTTACCATCCTCTTGTTCTCAGGGAGGTCCTCCTCTTTTGGAGGTGGTGGAGGAGTTTCTTTGGGTTTGGGAGGAGGTGGAGGTGTGGGCTCCTCTTCCTCCTCCATCTCAGAAAGGTTCAGGCCCAGGAGCACAGACAGAGTAGTCATCACTCTTGGATCCTGAAGCTTCCTACAAGGCCAGAGACAAATAAGAGAATGTTAAATAGCACAGTATTCTAATATTCGTCAAAGTAAATCGCCACACACTGGACCATCTTTCAAATAAGATAAATTTTACAAATTTCCACGACTGGTTTTATTTGATTTTTCAGTTTTATTATACAAATGGTTAGGATAAAAAATAAATAAAAAACAACGAATAAAAGCACATACGCTCCGAGTTCTGATGGTTTATTCCTAAGCTGCTCCAGTAGCTCTTTGTAGCTGGGATCTGTCAGGAGCTCACGAGTCCGAGGATCGTTCTCCAGCTTCTGATACAGATTGGGCGATGCAAAAGGGTTCATCATCGATTTCTCTGCTGAAGGACGAGCAACTTTTTGTTAGCAATCACAAATGAGACTTCAGAATGCATGCACGCACGTGTGCAAGCCATGGGGTGAGGTATACGTGAGGTTTGGACCTCGTTATGAAAGAAATTTTAAGGACTGGACCTATTGGGTTTTTCATTGATTACCCCTGATCTAGGTACTGTGGAGGAAAATAAAGAAACCAGCAAAGACAGAAACCATAGTAAACGGCAGAAATGTCCCACAGTCTGGGATCAAGAGTTTAACTTCAGGCAGATTAGCTAATGCTAAGCTAGCACGTAGCACGCTCATGATCAAGTGGAGTTCAGAAAAAGATGCTTGTGAATGACTAAACTCTAAAAGCAGAAGAAAAATTCCCACCATCCCGCTTATGTGTGGATGTCTGCAGTGGTATGGAGCAGAACCGCTGCAGCTGCTACCTGGAGGCAGGTTGTTGCTACTGAGTCAGCAACTCAAGTCTGTGCCACACACACGCAGATCTTTGACAAGCCATTGTAGCATGTAATTCACAAAGCTTCTACATTTGAATACAATTTAAACTGGATTATGTTGCCAGCTCGTACATAATAAAATGCATATGCCATTACATTATTACTAATAGAAATTAAAAATAAATGGTAGTAGCATTTCCAGTGGCATACTACTGAACATATTATTGAAATAATTAAATTCTATTGATCATATGTGATTTTATTTGGATATGTTTAGACAAGGATGGGTGATATTAAAACAAACATTTTAATGAAATATAAGTCAGAGTTTGTTCCATAAAGTATAACCTATCAGCTGTGAAGGAGGAAACTAGACGACAAATTGAATACGTTTTTGATCCCTTTATATAATTTTGTGGTTTAATTATATTTTTAGCAGCATACCATAATCCTGTGAAATGTCGTCAAATAGAATGCTTGATTAATCAATGGAGGATTCAATAGAAAATTCAAATACTAAAATATTCTATAGCTGCAGCCCTAGATAATAGACTCTAAAACCAAACGCTTGTACCTGTAAGTTTGGCCTGGATGTTCTGTAAACCCTCCTTTAGCTGCTGATTACTCGGCTCGTGGCGAAGTCCCTCCTGGTACGTTGTTCTGGCATCTTCCAATCGTCCAAGAAATTCCAAGGCAGCAGCTTTCCGAGAATAGCCCTAGGTGAATAAATTTGTTTGATTTCAGATGCTGTTTAGTTTTTATTCTAACACATCAGACAGAATTATGACAGAAGGATGCCTGACCTTGGCCCAGTCGGGTTTGATCTTGATGGTCTGACAGGCATCTTGGAGAGCGTTCTCATAACTGCCCTTTTTGGCGTAGGCAGCTGAGCGGTTACTGAACAGCACATGGTTTGATGGATCGACGGTCAAAGCTTCAGTGTAGCAACGAATAGCTTCATCAATATTTCCTGCACTCAGTGCCTTGTTGCCCTGGTCTTTCAATGCTGACACCTACAAAACATACACACACTTTTACAAAACCTCCCCTTTAAATGTTTATGTGTGGAATCCCCAGCGGAAATCCCAACTAAAGAGAACCACATCAACAGCTGTTACTGGCAGATTAAAAAAAGGAAACTGAGCCCAACAGGTGCAAAAGCAATGGAGAAAGAACACTGAACAGCTTTATCATCATTAAAGTTTCACCTTATGTGACAAAACTTTGCTTTTAATGAGCTTTACTTTGCATCAATAAAAGACAAATTCTAGATTTGCATATTAACTTAAGTGTAAACACAGATAGACCTCATTTACATTTTTAAGCAGTCTAAATGGGTTTGAATGAAGGCAACGGGACTTCTTTGGTTTCTTGAAGAGGTTTCACTTCTTGTCTGAGCTTTGCCAATTCTGACTGGAATATGGGAGGGTCAAGCTTATTAACTGTGGCTGTCTATTGTTGCCTTATGGGCTCGACACGCGGGAGGCGACATCGCCTCTCCTCCATTCATTTTCAATGAGACATGCGCGACAAAGGGATAAGCGACAAAGGGATAATCGTGGGTCTCCCTCCTACCAAGCGAAACGCGAAAAACGTGCGTGTGAAATTTTGCGCTCGTGCACAGGCGACCCAGCGACGCGATCCCAGAAAGTTGAAACATTTTCAACTTTTCATCGCTGTCGCTCGGACGAGGACCAATCAACGGAGGTTTCATTCACTGACTAATGAGCGGACAGGATGCTCCGTACATCTCCAAGCAAACATGGAGAAGTTGATTATTATTATTTTATATAGTAAAATCAGAAGTAAGATTTCACATAACTCTAGCAGCACCTTGTGAAACATCATATCTACCGCTTTATTAACTCTGAACCGCTTAAATAACCTTAATTCCCTCCAACCTGACACAGCCAAGCAAAACAACGGAAGTTTCGATTTCGCCATGGAACAGAACGCGTAGATGGTTTTGCCGCTGCCGCGGATCGCCTCCCGCGTGTCAGGTAATAAAAGCGACAGCGACAAATTTCGCTGATCGCCATCGTTTGTCGTCTCCCGTGTGTCAAACCCATAACGTGCAGAAACTACCTATGAATACCCCTCCTCCCTACCCCCTGATAAGTCATTAGCCTCTATTGTGTGTATTCCAGACAAAATTGACAAAGCTCCTCACATGAGAAGCCAAACCATTGTCTTTATTCTAATCCCTTTGGATTACCATGACCCGGATGACTGAGAACCTTCACCAGCATTTTTTAAGCAGTCTTGCACAAAGGTTCTCTATGGAAAATTAAATTCTTGCTAAGATTTTAGTCAATCTTTGACTGTTTATACTGTTTTAAACAAGTCCATCCGCTGCATCATGTTGAGAAAAATGCTATATTTTACTTTATAAAAAGAAGGTGCCTAAGGGATGATGTGTTGTCAGATTCATGCAAGAAAGAAAAATGACTAAGGAAAAATTTAGGTCATCTTAATTGTGAAAACACGAGGAAATTCCCAAAAGTCTACAAACAAAAAACTTCGACAGTTCGCGACACTTGAATTCGACTTTGCGGCCTGTCGCCTAGACAGTGGCGCCGTGAGCATCTAGAAAGATCCTCCGGTCTTCGCTCAGGCTGGGGTGGACGCTAAAGCAATTCCAAAATAACCGTGTCAGATATTTTAAAATAAAATGTCACATTATTCCAATTTAAAACTCTAATACAAATAAAATGGTATAACGATGACTTTATAATAAGACATTCTTAAACGCAGTATACATGAAATAGAACCGGAAGATGTACACAGATTTGTCAACTCGCGTTACTTAGAAGCACTTATACCAGAATAACTAACAGCGTGTTAAAACCATATTTTGGTTTCTGAGTATACAGTTATATTAACAAAAGTGGGCAAAGACCGTCTCGGTGTTTACGGACTTATAAAGTTGCACGTTAGCTTCACAGCTCGTCAATGAATGTGGTCATTTGTCTCGCTAGTTAGCTAAACCGTGCGTGTGTTTTTATACGTCAACGACAAAACTCAGTCTGCTTGTAAAGGGATGCAAATTCTTAAGCGTTTAAAATTAGTTTTGCGTTTAACAATGTCGTAAAGCTCTCAGCCTATTAGCCAAACGGCTACAGTGTAAATGACGCTAAGCTAACAAGCTAGGAACCACTGTGAAGTCACTGCATTAAAAAGCGTACAGACAATCTTTTCTATCTGTAACACTCTATTTTATTTTATTATCGGGAGATAAATTCAGCATTTCTTCCATTAGCTGAAAGCAGTCGGTAAAAACACAAGAATAAAAAAAAAAACTTGCAGGTCACTTACTTTATCCATGATGCACATGCGGTTCCTTCCAGAAACTACTGCGGAGTCCGAACTAGCACCTCCCCCTGAACGGCTGGTGGAAGTTGCCAGTAGGGACTAGAAAATCAGTAAGCACCGCCTAGGGAGAGATTTTAGACGAGCAATTTATATTTCACTTACTGAAACTTCTCAAAGAAAGAGGGACACTTTATTCTGAGCGCAGTTGCTCAAAATGTGTTTCGAATTCTCTTGAGTTATACAGTCTGAAAAATAGTTTGAAATTATTTTAATTTAACTTCTTTATGTGTGAGCCTCTTTGTGTCCACACTGAAAAAAGTATGCTCTTAATTGAATTTTTTGTGAGAAACATACACATATGTATATTTTTCATTTTAAACATGATAAAAGTTAGTAACGTCATGAAGTGTTTTTCAATGTCAAGGCAACTGGATAATTGAAATAAGCTATGCTTCTTCCTATTCCTTTTCGAACAATTTTAGTTTGGGATACTTTGATATAAGTTGGAAAGTCTTATATGGTAAGGCCCTTGTATTATTATGATTTATTTTTATTGTTATTTCTTTTTAACAAACTACATTTGTTCTTTTCTTTCTTTTTCAGCTTTGTTTGACCTGTGCAAAATAAAAATAAAAAAGTGATCTCTGCTTGCTAGGCCAGGCGCCTTGTTGTGATACAGCATTAGTTCTGCTCTAAAATATCCTCAGCTGAATAAGATTAGTGCCTTCATCACAAATCTGTCCTGTACATGTCTACTGCCCTCTGGTGGAGGATCTACAGATCAACAAAGGACTGTTTTATTTCTTTACTATTATGAATTTTCTATGTAAACACACAAGGGATCCATTTAAAAGGGCAAATAAAATTAAACATGCACAAAATAAAATAAACAACTACATTACAAATTACCAGAGGTGTCCCTTTCTAGGCATTAAAGCTCTTATTATTTCATTAAAAAGCATAATAAAGTTGTACACATGGTTTTCCATACTCAAAACTGTACTTACTTCTACGTTCTCAGTGGCCTAGTAGCAGAGTGTCCACCCTGAGACTGGGAGATCAAGGTTCAAATCCTGGTCGGGTCAAACCAAAGACTAATGCCTCACTGCTTGCTTGACACTCAGTTTTAAGGGCTCAGCCACTGCTGCAGCTCACCACTGCCCATGGGGATGGGCCAAATTCGGAGATGTAATTTCACCACTGTGTCATGATGACCGATGGGATTTTAAGTATATTTTTTCTGTATCTGTATTTTACTTAAATATTCTCCTCTAATTGCTAAAAAAATAAAACATTGAGTACCATCTTCGGCCACTGGAGGACAGGAACTTCTCCTCTAAACAGTGTTGGAAATCAGAGTGTTTTTCTATTTTTTGCCAGAGGAGGGTGCAAATTCCTCATTCTTCAATTAAATAAAAATGCCAATTGTTTTTACAAATTAAGTATTGTAAAAAGCTATTTAAACAAAGTACAAACATTAAAATAACTCCAATTGTCTTCTGTTACTGGTTACTTTAAATAGCCACTAACAGCAACAATGGTAAATGGCCTGTATTTGATATGGTGCCTTCTAGAGTCCTGGAACCCCCAAGGCGCTTTACAACACAACCAGTCATTCACCCATTCACACACAAATTCACACACTGGTGGGGATGAGCTACGATGTAGCCACAGCTGTCCTTGGCTGCACTGAGAGAGGCGAGGCTGCCGAGCACTGGCGCCACCGGTCCCTCTGACCACCACCAGCAGGCAACGTGGGTTAAGTGTCTTGCCCAAGGACACAACGACAGCAACAGACTGAGTGGGACTTGAACCTACAACCTTCCGATTATGGGGCGAGCACTTAACTCCTATGCCACCGTCGCCCCAAAAAACAAATAGAATATTATTATAAATAATAAATAAATAGATATTTTACTTAATTCATTCATCTCAAATTTGGGAAACTGGGGTTACATTTAGGAGTGCTTCAGCACCCAAACGCAGGTTAGAAACACCTATGAGGAGGTTAAATATTCTCCTCTAATTGGCTCAAAAATTAAAAAAATTTAGAGAGGAATTAAAAACACCTTCAGATTTCTGTTCAATATGAAACACATTTCCTTTAAATTAATGCGGGTTTATCCAAGCTGTTTGTCAAACTAATAAACCACTGTTAAGGACAACATGTCATTCTGTCTGGTGTTTTAGTTCAGCACAGATATTACAATAAGAAGAAGACCTCTAATTTGTAACACAGTTCCTTAAAGAGTAACTAACTCCCCCCCCACCCCACCCCCCCACCCCAATTGTGTTTTATTTCATTATTATTTTTTTATTTTATTTATTTACTTATTTATTTATTTATTTTGCTTATGAACTGTATAATTGGATCTTAGCAGATGCTTTAAACATTAAAGATCACAGACGCGCGTGGAAGATCTCCAACTTCCTTGCGGACCCTGAACTCAACATAAGCCCCCCACTGGGCGCGTGCGGCGGACTGAAGGTTAGGTTTGCGCTTGATTCTTCTTTAAGTGTTGAACAGAAAATCGTATAGTCAATTATTTTCTTTCTTTCTTTTTTTCTAATAAAAATAGTAGGTAATTTAAGAAGAGAGTAAACATAATGTAATAAGGATTAGCAAAATAATCTACTTGTAGCAATATATATGTTTTTGTTTGACTAAGCTAACCTGATTAGCTTTATGGAGGAAATTTGTTGCTAAGCTAGGAAGCTAAGAAAGCAAAAGCTTCCATAATTTGACTATGAATTTGTTTATTTAGCACAATTTCTCAGTAGCTAGAACACTACCAGAAACATAACCTTAATACATTTTTGCTTTCTCTTTGCTTTTCTTTGTCATGTTAACGCTGTAGGAACCAGCATGAGGAGACAAGCGCTACAGCCAGACAGGCTAGCAGCAGGTTTGTTTAAGAGATTAGCTTCTTAGTCCATTTCTGACACCAGTGGACTTAAAATCCTTAATGCTGCAAGGGTTCATTTGAAAAATTATAAAAAATTCAACTATCATGTGGATTTGAAGACTTAATTCAATACATCATGGAATCCTGGTAAAAGGTGTTTCCCCTTTCTTTCTTCTAGCTTTATAATTTTTATATTTTATTCAGTTTATTTTTGTTTTGTTTTGGGGTTTTTTGGTGGTGGTGGTCACACTTGCATTATTTAGACCAACAGAAAAAAAAACCTGGGAAACACAAAACGCAACTTTGAAATGAATCATTTTATTTATTAAGGGAAAACAGAGACAATAAAAAATATATTTAGAGTTTGGAAGTCTGACAAACATGTAGTAGGCTAAAAGATCTCAAAAAGCAATATGTCATGTCCTTTTCTTAAGACTTTCAAGAGCAAAACTGCCAAGCACTAACCTAAAGTGCTGCAGGCCTTGCTCATTAAGATCAGAGTTCATGATTCAGAGGTAACAAAGATATTTAAATGATCTGTTGCAGATGTAGCTATTTCTTAATAAAAAATAGCAATCTAATAAACAAATGATTGAAAATGACATTTTGTATTCATTGAGGTTATTTTAGTCTGATATTACTTTTTTTGCTGATCTCATACATACATACATGTATACATGTTACAACAAAAAAAAACCTTCACAAATAATCTGTTCTCGTAATTTATTATTAGTTTACTACATTTAAAGTGTTGTGTTTTTGTTTGTTTGTTTTCAAGGCTACGCCCCTGTGTCTTTGTTCAACCAAAGAAAAAGAAACAGAATTCCCCTGAAATCGGCTCCCTGTGAAAATGAATTCTTTTTCCATAGTGGTGAATACATGGCAGCCAGCAGCTCCGCTGAACCTTCCAGTACCTCAGGTACAAAAATACATATATCCTCTTCCACATTCCTTCCACTAGGTGGCAGCAGATCCACAGAAAAATCAAAATCAACAAGTGACTAATATGGTTTGAGATGATTTAGTTGTTTTAAATAAAAAGTTCTCAAGCTTCAACTTTTTCTACCATTTTTTGGAATAAACCCTAAGGTATTTGTCAATCAAGATATCAAACTACATTGTTTTCTTCAGGCACATATGGAGGTTACAAGGTCTCAACCCCTTCCAGTGCTCCTCAAGTCCACCAGTGGAACAGCCAGGCTGGTGTACAGTCCGTTAAGCCCCAGCAGTACTACAGCAACAGACCTGCTCCTGGACCTTCTCCACCAGCAATAACTTTTACATCCACCTCACATCCGTACAATGCTGGAGCCAAAAGGTATCCTTCAGCAGTGGACAATTTGAAGTTGATTTGTCTTTTTACATTCAAACAGCTTTTAACAATTCAGGTGTCTAAGTAAAAAGAAGTGGGAATAAAGATTCATTCTTTGCATTGTTTTCAGTGGAATCATGAAAGAAATGTATATGGCATGGCTTTACGAGCATCCTCCGCCTTTATTTAGATAAAATAAGAAGCTTCTGTTTTTCAGCGCTGTGATGGGACAGTCCAATGGTCCAGTCAGACAGAATTCCAGCTCTGAACGGAGTTTCAGCCACAGCAAATATCAAGGCCCCTATGATGAGAACTCACAAAGCAAACCAGCACTTCATACAGGCTTCTCCCAGATGGGTCAGCAGACACCTCACAGACCACCGAGCTCCACACCGCTGCATTCCCAGCAACCCAGACATCTCCTTCCTCCAGAAGCACCATCCAGGATGCTTCCTGTGCCAGCTGTGCCTCCACCTAAGAAGTCCTGGAAGTTCACCAACAGCTTTGAGCTAGAGAAGTCCAGCTTTGGAGGGAAAATAAGCTCAAATCAGCCTCAAATGGCTCAACCCATGAAAACTAAGGTAGAAATATGTGTTAAAGTACAGACATTTCACCATTTCTAACATTTTTCATTATTGTCATCAGGAAACACTTCCAATGACGCCTGCTGCCGAGAACTCACTGAGGATCCTGACTGTAGTAATTGAAGGAATGAGATACTGGAGCCAGTTTAAAAACAAAGTGCCTTTGCTGTTTGAGATATTTGGTCAGTTGATTATTTATTTATCACCAGCTGTTCCCATAATTATAAAGTATGTTTGAACATGGTTAACATTGTGCCGGTCTCACAGCTACTCTGGACTCTGCTGTCACACTGGGAAGCTACGGAGCCAAGAGCTTCCTCCTGAGAGACGGGAAGAAGGTTCTGCAGTGTGTTTATTATGAAAACGTGAGTTCAAAGCTAGAAATACAATCTAAATGATTAATGCTTCATATACTAAACTGCTTTTATTATGTTAAATTATGCATTCATGTTCAGCTTGATCATTCAGATGTACATTTTAACCTTCCTACTGTCTTTATGGGTGACCCCGCGAGGAAAGTTGACCATTGAGCAGGATTGATGGTTTATTCCTTGAGGTCCAGGGGTGAGGTGGTGCTCACTCCTCACCCCTGCCACATGGACCCAAGGGATAAACCATCAACCCTGCTCAATGGTCAACTTTCCTCGCGGGGTCACGCCCATTAGGACAGTGAGAGGGTTAAGAACAAAATTATAAAATGATCCGTCATTTGTTCATGTAGATTTGTATAAAGATCTTAGTCATTTCACACTGCAGGATCTTTAAACAAGCATGAGAGACCACGCACGTGGGGATTTAAAAAATCACGCATATACCAGTTTTGGTCCTACAAGAACTTACATGGGAACTTATTTCACTCATACACATTCCCCACTCAGATATGAAATCTCGTGAGATAAAATCTGATTTCATATTAAACAAACATGGTGGAGTAGAAGCATGCAGCGTACTTTTATCACCTTGCTTTCTGATTGGTTAGACGTCACAGTCATCAGGCAGCATGTTCGTTGGTTCCCAAAAATCAGACCAAGAAAATCCAACATGTTTTAAAGTCTTGATTTATAATCAGAACGACCTTGACGTCCTTTAGACATGACCAAAGCACTTGTAACACATCACAAACAGTAAGATAATCTGAAAAGATTATCTTAAGGGTCCTTATGTTAATTGTGTACAACTTTATGGTTATCAGAAGGGGCGGGGCTGGTCAACTGGCTTGATTACCCTGGCCTGTGATTTCTGTTTTATGCTCTCAAATCTGATCAGATCACATAACTAAACTTTTAGGGCCAATAAATACAGTGAGATATCTTTTCTGTTTGTTCTCCAACAGGACCAGGTTCTGCCCCGTCTCATCCGAGGTCAGGTCCATCGCTGTGTTGGCAACTATGACCGTGCCAGAGATGTCCTGATATGTATGTCTGTTCGACCCGGTCTGACCTCGGAGCAGAAAAATGCTCAGGAGGCTGTCAAAGCCTCTGATGCAGAAATGAGAGCTCTGGTCAAGAAACTCCGGGAAGTCTGAGCAGCAGCGGGTATCTTTAGTTCAGTGGTGTAAACAAACACACGTTGCTCATGTTTGAGCACTTGTTAGGATTATAAGTCATTTTAAAATAAACATGTCTGGTGTTGTAGCAATTTGCTACCAGAAAAGGTTGATTGTATTTTAAAATACTTAAAATCACCTAAATGTTCTTGTTAAATATTGTTGTTGTTTGTTTTGACAAATATAAACTATTGTCTATCAAAACTTTATGGAAAGTGAATCCTCTCATTTTAAAGTTATGAAAGTTTTTATTACAAAGAAATCTCACAAAACAACAAAGCAAACATTTCAGATAAAGCAAACACACAGAATTAATACCTGAAAATATACTTTTAAAAATGGAGAGGTTAGGAGGAACGAGATACCAAGAACAGTTAGTTTATTTACAGTTAAACATCACAATGAAAAAAATAAACAACAATTTTACTCTACTGAAACGTTTTCACCAGTGCTGAGACTTTACACACAACTGTTCAACAAATAACAGAAGAAGTCGCTGTTATTCCAACGCAGTCCTGCACAGTATGAGGTCCGTTTGGATCCTGTTCCAAATATGGCAACATAATTATGTTTTTATTCTTTTTTTTTGGGGGGGGGGGGGGGGGGGTATTTTGTTATGGGAGGTCCAACATGAGAGTTTCTATATTCAACACAAAGATGCAAACAAACACTAGAAAAGGAGATCAGGTTTGATGGAGCTGGCAGTGTACAGGAACAGGATATTGATGAGTAGATGTTCTGTCTTCAGAACATGATAGGACCAGAACTCAAACAGCAGAAAAGAACACACACACACACACACACACACACAAACTGGCTTACTGGAGGAAATTATTATGTTGAACCATGTGTTACAGATAATGGTGATCCTGTTTCAGCTCGAAATGTTCACCAAGAGCGAGGTTTTGTCCACAAAGCTCCTCGTCTACCACCTAAATTGGAGATATCAGTTATATGTTAGATGTATGTCATAACATTTTAGTGAGAGAACGCAAATATTCCTGATAATTAGCTGAATGACGTCAGGGCTTAATGAAACACATTGCCATCATGTTCAAGGGTTTTCCCCTCAAACACATTTTCTCTTGTTATTGACACCGTTCTGCTTCAAACACAGAAGAAACACTAACAGAAACAAAAACAGACCACATAATCCCGTGTTCATTACCTGATATTAAACTGGTCCGGTTAAAGGCACAAATTGGTCAGATCACATTTAAAATCTAGATCAGTTCTACCAATAACGAAAACCCAACTCATCATGCGTTTGTTTCAAATAAATCATCTTCTGGAGTTTAGATGCGGTTTTCTGAATTTGTGTTGAGTATTAAACGTGGACGGAAAAAAATCATAACACAAACAAACCTGGGAAAAAGGTTGACAAACAAATGTGGCATCCCAACATTATTATTATTATTACTTATTTTCATTTTATTACACTTTGCTTGAACAGCCATTTGTTGTGTCTTATTGTTTTAAGAGAAATTAAAATTAAATTAATCGTAGTCCATTTCTTTGTGTCAGAGACTAAATCCAGTCTTTAACAGCTGAAGGTCTTTTTGACTGACTGGTAAAAAAATCTTTTAAAGTTCTCATTTCAGTGTTTTATTTTGAAAATTCAAAGATCCACTCTGTTCAACCAAGACGACACTGACAGCTGAAACGTCCCAACACAAAATGTATTTTAGATGCAGCTCCTTTAGGGATGAGACACTCCAGTCCGGATCCAGGAATTATCCATATTCAACCTTCATTTTTGCCTTTTAGTCACGTTTATTTTATTTTTTTTCAGAAGTTTCTCAACATCAAACTTTACCCTTGATACGCTGAAAAACATCTGTCCATTTTGGAATGTTTTGCACATTGACTTGTTTTTTCAAAACAAGGAAACATCAAAACAAGGTAAACTTTAGGAGTTTTCATCAGTTTTTTAACGTTTGTTGTAATTTTACAAGTTTTTTTTATCTTTTGACTGCATCGTCTTCAAAACAGGCAAGAAGAAAAACTGGTCAAAGTTTAAAAGATGGAAAATGCCTTTCAGGTTGAAAATTTGACCCGCATGGGAAAAAAAATCCTGTATAAATGAGTAATTTTTAATCAGTAGATTTACAGATGCAGGAAGACGATGTTTGTTTTAGTAGTATTTGCTTAAGTGGCGCTTCTGAACTGAGATGCCCAAGATAGAGGCCAAGAGGGACAACACTATAACAGAGTGGGCAAAGGAGTGGGGGACAACTGCTCCTTTGGTGCATATTTGGCAAAAAAGGGCAAAAAGACGGTGAGCATGACTCCAACAATAGCTAACATGTAGCCCCAGCCGATCTGGCACTCTCCAGCGTAGTAGATGTCAGAGTCTCCGCAGAAAGACCGGACCAGCGAAGAGTTCAGGCCAAAAGGGTAGACCAGCAGTCCGGTAGCCATGATGAATACTGCAGAGAAAACACAAAACACACAACATCAGGAACTTTCCTGGAGAACAGACTCAGAGCCACTTGGTGGCAGTAGAGGCTTTCCCAAAACACAGTCTAAGTTAAAATACTTCAATAAACATTTAATGTGTGTTAAAAAGTATTTGCCCCCTTACAGAATTATTTTGTCTCACTTAAATGTTTAAGATCAGCAAACGTATTTCACTATCTGACAAAGATAATGAGTAAATACAAAAAGCCCTTTTCTAAAGATGATTACATTTATTGAGGGAGAAATAATCAATCGAAACCAACGAGTGAAAAAGTGATCAGTTTTAAAACAGGAGCAAAGATTGTCTTCATAAAAACGAATCACAGCAGTGGAACAACAAAGCCTTGAATGGTTTTAATTTATTGTAATTTAAGTGACTAATTAAAGACAGATTATGTAAAATGAGTCATTTTCTGAAAGCAAACGCCCTTTCCCTCTCTCAGAAACGAATCGTTTACACGCACACTGCCAGAAAACGGTTCGCTTTCACAGACTGAGCCGAGCCTCTGACCCCACGCTGCCAAACACTTATTGACTGTGCGTTACAGACCATCATTACTGCTCTTAGTCATTCTGAGAGCTGGCTGGATGTTCTCAGTGTTCTCTGGTGACCCTATGATGGTGAGTAACTCTCAAAACAACAACAAAAACTCTTTCATCACATATGGATGTTAGAAGACGTCAGTTTCTTCCTTTAGAATGAGCTGACTTCATGCTCTGACAAACGATGAAAGTATCTGTTGTTTGCCTCATCTGCTTTAGCATCTCTACAACGTTCTAAAAGCTTTCATTTAAGCCTTGTGTTTCCAACCGTAGCCTGAATCCGTACGCAGCCTCCTCAACTGTCCACGAGGCTACACGTTTCACCTGCGCAGTCCAAGAACCTCAAATCTCTGATTTTCTTTTTCAAATCGTTCTTTCTGTGTTTCTTTAACACAAAGACACAAGTGTGTGCTTGCAGCTCAAGGCCACTTCTCGTCACTTCATTGATGACATTCAAAGCAAACTGAGAGAAAAACCTCCAGAAAAGGTTCACAAAAAAAGAGCTGAGCATAACCCCAAAATAATCAACACAGGAATGAAATCAAGGCTGCAGTGTCTTAACAAGACTCAGCTACAGAAAGTCAGGGCTAGATATTATCAATCAGACCAGGATAGCGTGCAGAGCAATTGTCTTGATCAGATAAGCTGCTTCTTGGGCTGAAAGGAACTCTGGAAGCCTTTAATGGGAGGAAAAGGCACAAAAATGCTGTAAAACCCTCCTCAAATCAGAGGCCATCTCCTAATGGATCAAACTATTCTGACACATGTGAAGAGGATGAATCCAACTCAAATTAAATTACCACTTTGTGAAGGAAAAGCGTATGTTTATTTACATTCTTTGATCTTATATTATCCAGTATAAAATAACTGCATGTATTACACTTTTGCAGTTGCATTGCAAAATTGGTTTGCATGCACCAGGCTTCAAAAAACTAACATAAAAGACAGTTTCTGCAACTATGTTCTATTTTTGCAAAACGCCTGAATGATTTGTGCTTTTGCCCTACAAAGATTGGGTGAAGCCGAGCAGTGCGCTCTGTGGTTTGGTCAGTGTTGGGTCTGCAAACGCCATTTCTAAAGGATCTTACATGGACCAGTAGTCTAATCTCATGAGCACGGGCCAGTGCAAAAAAAAAAAAGAGACTGACATGACACGAAGACGCCAAGCAGGGAGTCTGAAGCCTAAACGGGCTCATTGCTCACCCCACCAGGACACCCATTTAACACGGCAAACTGGATAATGAAGCTCTGAGCTCGTTGGCATCTCTGGCTGGGATGATGAAGGAATGACCAGGCCTGGGGTAGTCACAAGGACACGATGACTCACTCATGCTGAGAGCAAAATATCTGTGCTATTGTTTGAGTCACAATACTGCTATAATTTATTATCAAAACATGCAAACCAGTTGTATTAAATGTCTTTTTTTTAAACATATGGTGAAAAAGAGACAGTACTGTATCTACCAAGCAGAAACTCACAGGAAACTCTTTTATCATTAACAGACTGCCTCGATTGTACGGGCTAACACTCAGATGGTTACCATAATTGCTTCTAAAGGATGAGGGACTCGTGTTAGCCGGGACCCATTTCAGCACCTTCCACAGAGCCTGAAGCTGGACATGATCATTGTTTCCAAAACAGACGTGTTTCACATATTACTGTCACAGTTTTAGGTGTCGTACTCACGGGGACCGGGCTTTCTCAGTACTAGCACCGTCACTATGGAACCAGTTGCCACCCTCAGTTAGGCTGTCCCCATCTCTGCCAGTCTTCAAGAGTCGCCTAAAAACCCACCTCCTCGGCGTTTCCTGAACATGTTTGAATTTGGCCCTCTTTTATGTTGACTTTATCTCACAGTTTTCATTGGTTCACTTTTTCCCTTGTTTTACACATTTGTCTCCTACTAGAATGTTTCACCTTTTTTGTAATTTGTAATCTGTAATTTGAATTGCTTTTATTTTCTGATTTATTCACTTTATTTAACTTTGTACTGTACCATGTTCAGCGCCCTGGGCTTTCCTGACAGGGTTGCGGAAGGCGCTTTATAAATAAAGCTTTGATTTGATTTGATTGATTTGACAGTTTTAGCAGCAGGCCAGGTCCTGTTGTCACTTCTCAGAATAAAAATAAAAATTGGATTTTTTTGCTGTGAAGCAGAAATTACAAATCTGACCAGTAAACTTCTGGAAACATTTTGAGCTTCTA